ATGTCAACTTAACACGAATTATATATTGTATGTATCAATATATTTTTTTATATATCAGTTTAACTCAGCCTTCTTTAAACGATGATCCACCTGCAAATAGTTTTCGTGACCATGTCTTCATTAACGGTCAGAAATGCGTTCCCCCATTAACACAACAAGCAAAAGTTCATGAATTTCAGTACTATGAGTTGCAAGTGCATCTGGCGTTAAATGGTTGAAGTGTTTTTATAGATTAGGGGGTCGGCCTGGTCATCCTAAACTAATTACCTTTTTTGTACGATGCAAAGCCATGCCAATATCCGTCGACACATCTTCCCGCAAAATGGATACGGTCTCTTAAACATGAAGTACCCTTATTGATGGTTTTCACGGTGACGTCATCAGATTGCAAAGTCAAAAAAGCGAGGTTTTACGAATTCTTATTTACACTAGGTTGAAGATTGATAGGAAATAAATCTTTGTACAAGTTTCCAGCCCCGAAGCATGTTTCATTTCAAAAATACAGCAATTTGAACTTCCGAATTTTCACAGTGCGTGACACCAAAATAGGAATGCTGTTCCCTTGAAAAAAGTCTCTCAACTTGATTTTCAGCAGTTTAACCATTTCAAGTATTAGAAGATATTTCTATGCACACGTATGCTAGTTCTCGAGTGAAAAGGAGGAGCTTTTATAGAAAAAGTGAACTCCAGATGTTTTTGTTAATTTCCGGCGGCCATATTGGTGGACAGAAACTGTCCACCAATATGGCGTCTCCATACAAAGCTCTACAAAGGTGCGTGAAATGTTTCGGCAAATAACTCAGAAACTGTGGGCCACGAAGACCTGAGATTTGGACAAATTGTTTTTATATTAGTCTTTTATAACATTTCATGTTCTTGGCTTCTTCCACTGGACGGTTTCAAATGTATTTTTTTGTGCCGTGTTTATTGCGTGACGGTGAAAAGGAAGAATACCTTTCAACCCTATCAATGATCAGCATCTAACCTCTCTCTATCGTACCAATTCTAATTCAAACATTGAAGGTCGTGTGAGTGGAGAAAATAATCAAGAAAAGTAAAATGTTCCAATATTTAGATGAAAATGTAAATTGTGAACATTGTGAAGAATATGTGGGTTGAGATGCAGGGTTAAAGTTTCTTTTAAATGCTGTGTGTGCGGGAGGACATGTCTCTGAATTGAAATGAATAAACAAACAACAGGAAAGAAATTGTAAATTCTATTGCAAGTTTTATTTTATAAATGCGTTACGGCGTACATGTCGGTGAATATCTTGTTGTTCAGAAAGGATCGTGTTATGAAACATCGATTCTTGGCCACCTCTACTGTAAACTTACTGAGCGTCAGTTCTACGTTTTAGTTGTTTTTCCTTGTCTTATGCAATTAGTTCTGCTCTGTTAACTACAGCATTGTTTTTAACAGCTCCTTGGTTAATATTGAAAGTGCGCGGATCGGGTCTCCAACTAGCGAACACTCTATCGGTATCCAATGATGAACACTCCGCTCCAATCTTTTTCGTCGGTCTTCCCTGCAATGCTTTTCTTAGCCTCACCTGGGTGGACCAACTTTACCTTCAACTGGCCAGCTCCAACAGGAAACCACATATTGGCAGAGTTAACGGCCAAAAAGCCTTGCCCTGTCGCCACATTCATGTACTGCTTGAGATCTGGTCCTCCCAGCATGTTTGTAGAAATTTCGTAGTATCCCCTCTGAAAAGATCCTTCCCCCTGTGTTGTGACAAATACATACACGAACACTTCATTCGCCTCTGGTGGCACTCCTCCGCCTTCCACTTTTAGGTCGTAAATCTTTTCCTCCTCGGGAAATTCCGGCAATTCGCCCAGTGATGTGACTAATGGAGTATACGTTGCCATGATTTAGACGAAGGAACTGGTGAGTCGAAACTGATGTGGAACAGAGGTGCAAGATCAGTAAGAAACACGGCTCTTGCGTAAAAGTGGGTGGGACGTTCGATGCTCCAGTAAATATACAAGCTCAGTTAACATCCCGGATGTTGTTTACATTTGGAGTTTTGCCAGCAGCTTCATGCAACACGCGTCTTTATTGGCTCCTCTGACACATAACAATGAAGGAGTTGTTCGGTGCAGTAAAATCTTGTGTTCAGGAGTGGTGTTAAGAGTTAAACAGGTTTTTTCCGGACAGTGTCAAAGTGCTAAAGGATTTATCCCCCAATCCGTATGATCGGATTAAGAACCCGAGACAATATAGTCAACATAGTGAAATCGCACGTCCTTTTGGCATCTTACTAACTGACACATACTTACTGCATTTGGATATTCGCAGAGAAGGATAAAAATATATTAACGGTCTGTTGCCATATCATTAGAAATGTGTCGTATTTTCCTCACTAGCTGTTTTCCGTACTTCTGCTACAGTTATGATAACCAGAAACTTATTAACAAGAAGACTTTTGATCATTTTCTTTCTTCTCCTTACCTTTATGGGTGATTAAGCAATTATATCATAATGAGACTTTACACTCTGATAACTGTTAGAGAGGCGTTACAGACTCAAGAGTAAGAAAACAGAAATATTATGTGGATATTAGCACGTTTAGTGATCCTTAAAATAAGATGTCCAAAAAAAACTTTAGAACTCCTTACCTCATCTCCTAGTTTTGCTCTTAGCATTTTTGACACTTTCATCGCTATTCCAGCGAGTTTTAGTTCTTTCTGTGTTCTCCCTAAAAATTTTCCTAAGTGACGACCGTTAAAATCGCCTCAAAAACCCAGTTTATTATGATTTTTGTTACGCTACAATGATTCTCACTCCTGAGCTGTGGTAACATGTGGAACATGCATATAAGAGGCGAGAGGGCAAAAGTTCACCAATGTTGACGAAATAATTTTATCACGTTCTTATTTTGTTGTCAGTATTTAGATATTCAGCACGTTTCGGGTTTTTTATATCACGATTCTCGAAATTACAAAAAGTGAAGTTTTAAATTCTCTAGCTAAATGCTAGTTAATGAAGTTTTATTGGCGAAAATAATTCTATATGAAGGATGGACGGTGTCAGTAAACATTTCAAGAGTTTTTAGTCTTAGAGAGAAGACAATGCAACTGATCACACCGGGGTATGTCCCGCCCAACAGGGTTGTTTTTCTGGGTCTTGAGTCTTAAAGAGGACATACAATTACGTTATTTAGCGTCTTTAACGTGTTGTCTTTCTGGGTTGAAAACCTTAAACAGGATGTGAACGTTGGTGGTGCAGGGTCTGAATCATTGTGTTACCAACGGTGTTATTATTATTTTTGCTAAGTCTTATTCTGTGTTAATATATACTTAATCAGGAGCCCTGAATTATTCGAAAGGAAATGAATCAAGTTCAACACATTAAAGGTCTCTTATCTTAAACAGGGTTCGTAGCGAAATGAACGGATTTTTTAAACGGAGATTGTCTCGGCCCCTACCCAAACTTCCCTTATGTGCCTGCCTTCTCTTATCCCCCGGGGGAGATCGCAGTAAATAGAAAAAGTGGAGTCATGTTTTGTATTTCGTATTCTTAATATTTACAAAAATTCTCGTGCGGCGTCATTAAAGGAATGAATGTATGTTTTTATTCAGCTGAATCGATGCTCACAGAACTCCAAAACTAACGACATTTAAAGTCAAATAAAAAAAGGTTTTTAATGGATTTTTGCACACATTCTCTACGTTAAGAGAATAATATAATACTGAGTTAATTTCGAAGACGAAAGTGGAAAGCACGATGCGAAATGACCAGTTTCATTTCGTTAAAGAGAAAAACAGAATAGCAAAAGAACGTTCGAGCCGTTGAAAATGGAAAAACTTAAGAAGATATTAAGAACATAGACCAAGATAATTAATGCAGTGTAGCTTACAGCGTTTTATGTGTAATGAAGGTACCATATAAAGAAAGTAGCTGATGATGTTTGGTCTAAACTTAAGTACAGTCCAAATAATCCCAATGGACTGATGGGATTATTTTGTATGTTAACAATACAACAAATAATTCAAAATCTCCAAAATAATAAAAGAACATTTAGTCCTTGCTAAAACGCCTCGGATAAAAACTGGACGTTTCTATTTTGAAAAGTGTACGAAAATGGAGGGTGTTCAGCTGGTCCTTCCGTCCGTCTCCTCTTTTTTTGCCTAACAGTGCGTAGGAGGGGGAGGGGTACTCCTATGAATTTCGGATAGGTGTGTACCACCCAGGATCTTATTTAAGGAGGAGACAAACGAGAACTGATATCTTATTTTACAAGGCCCAGATTTGGAAATTATGAGACCTACTTCAAGTGGAAAAAAACTAAAACTAAAGAAGCAAGGCTGATTTTACAGTCGGGAATAAAAATATAGTTTACCAATATTTCGGAAAGCACGGCCTTCCTTCTTCAGGGTCGTATACATGTATATAAGAAGAAGAAGAAAGGTCGTGCCTTGCGAAATATTGGTAAAAAATATATATGTCCCCGACTGTAAAATCAGCATTGCTTCTTTTGTTTTATATTTTCACTTATTTCTGATTAGATCATTTATTAGGATCCGGTCCTTTTTTTTGTAACCTGGTCCTTGTTTCACAAATGGAAAAAACTGAGAATTTTTAACTTGAAGACACACAAATAACTTTCCTAATACTCCAAGGTAAAGTTACGTTCTAACAGATGATTGATTCCTCGCGTAGTTGCTCATTTACACACTTAAATGTTAGCTGATATAATAACGGTACACTGTCTAAGGAACACACCGGAACACTGCACCAACAATGGTAGATATGACACCCTATTCTATTTAAGGATGGAGACCCTTAAAAACCATACACTATTGGGCGGCAGATACCCATCTAGCCAATATATGAGAGTGTCCTCCCCCCCGGAATCAGTGTTACACAATTGAATTAGGTTCAGGGCCATGTCTCAGGCCATACAAACACTCGTTGTTTATAATAAATGGGATACATGAGTTTAATATTTTAAAAAGACACTCTATTTCACCTCGTGCGAACTGTTTTGAGTTGTCTACCCCCAAAACCTTCCAGAATCTGGTTTAGCAACCTGCTGGCCCTTGCGGGATACTTTAATTTGTAGGGTAGCCGCACCAGAGGTAGCCATAGCACCCTCTGCTTTAAGCCCATGGCCCAAGTCAATACTATCCCAAGACGCATCAGCAATTAAGTTACCGCGACGTCGACCATACATTTTGCCTAACATGCTATGTGAGGCCTTTTGATAACCACTGAAAAGCTTAACATTCCACACATTGAGGTACAGACCCTGAAGATAGGGGACGGAAAACATGACGGCCAGTGTTTGGTCGATGTCAATTATACAGTACGTCAGTACTCCCATCACACCAAATGGAAAGTAGCTGTTTCTTCTTCGTGCTTTAAATAGCATTGCTTCACCTAGAGATGGGTGTGGAGATATAGGTATGCAAAAGGAATCAGATTATATCCAAACGGAGTATTCCTGACCAGTTCATCATTTTTGGCATATAAATCGACGCTAACTAGTTGTTACCAAGGCTGAAACTTTTCATAATTATTTCAAAGAAAAATAATAAAACTAATCTCCGGCATCACCCCTGTCACCGTCACCAACACCATCATTGTCATCATCATCATTATTTCACCCGAGTTGGCTAAAGCTAAAAACGATAACAAAAACGAAAAGTAACGGAAACAGGAGTGAAATTGAAAGGCACATATTGACTCGACCGTTGTTGTTGCGGCACAAGGAATGACTAATCAAAATGAGCGCATAGTAGACTTCTGCAAGATCATATCGATCAGCTTATTGCTTGGCTATACTCTAGAGGGGATTTAAAACAAATATTGTTTATTTGTTTGTAAGATATGACGACTGCGAGTGGGCAAGAAAGCAGAAAACAAGCCAACTGTTACTCTTCCAGCAAAGCTGATCTGTTCAAAAACTTATGACCTGATAATTGATCATGCCTTCACGAGTTTTTTATTAGTTCGGAATCGCTTACTCTTTTCTTAATTCGTATTTACCTGTGTTTACTGTACGGGTAAGGACTTCGTCTGTGACGCCTGTGAAGAAGTAAACATTAATTGCTCCCCATCTATATCCACTCTCATTAGCGATGCCGATGGCTATCTTGCGATTTGTACCACTGATGGTATCTAGGAGCGATTTAAGTACTTCAAATGTCAGTGCAGCCGCTGCGATTTTATCAACTATGCGTGGGGAAAAAGAGAGAAAAACACACAATTAATTACTGTTTTCCGTGATCGCCACGATCGCTGAGACCGCTGGAAAATGATATGATTGAATCAAATGATCACTGAAAGCTACTGAAAATAAGTCTTCAACGATCCCAGCGTCCATCTCGGCAACCAAGCAATCTTCGGCCAAGACCTTAATGCTAGGGTTTAAGCAAAAATAAATTTATAATAAATTCAGTGAAAGTAAAATGAATGTGAAAAGTTAGTACATGGTAAAATGTCTCTGTTTTGTTCTCTACAATGTATCAGGAGGTTCAGTACTGAGTGTATGTTTCTTTCGTTTACGCAAGAAAAAAAATTCTATAAAACTCTGTTTTATAAAAACACAAGGTTTCGAATTCTGGACACCTCTTGGCCCTATGAAGGCTTCTTTACAAAAGAAACTGGTGAGCGCAGTGATAGCTATAATAATATAATGGGACAGTTTGTGCTCCAAGTGAAAGGCCTTCGAGATATCATAGCGGCATCCTAAGCAAGGTTTTATAACCCACCCACAAGTTTCCAGCGCCTCCAATTTAATTTTGGAAGCTCTTTTGGATCTGTTTTGTTTTGCTTCGTACTCCTAAAGAAACACGAAGTATTAGCACCAGACCTATGATATACAGTATAGAAGGAAAATATATTTTACTTTGTCGTTTGGTCTTTTGGTCTTCTTGGTCACTCGTTCTTAAATCTGTTCTCGTTTGGGCCTGTTCATATTGAAATAAACAATTCATGTTAAGCAAACATTTTATCAAATTCTTCAGTGTTGTCCCAAAATCCCTTTTCCCTTTCCTTTCGAACGCTTACAACGCCCCGGGGGGTAGTCCCCTATAAAAGTGACGGGGGTGGTCGTCGTACCTTTTCAGGGGTCTAAATTTTTGGGATTGGTACCGCTTAGGGTGTGCTGCCAGAGTTGATACGCTTTAGTAGGATAACGATTTATGAAAATACTTTCAAAAAGTCCTTGAGAAGAAAATGTTCGAAAGTTATCTCTATTACTATTAAAATTTGCAGTGCCAGTTATATAATTTGTTATTGTTGAATTGGTACCTCTTAGGGTTGGAAATGAATTTGGGACACGCCCATAAAACAAGATTCTGGTACCTTTTAGGGGTGTTGTCGAAATTTTCCGACTAGCAGCCTCGTCACTTTTATAGGGGAGTAACCCCCCTTCCCCCCGGGCTGCAACGCACCCTAGAAGGGAGACTCTTTTGCTTAGACAAAGCGGAGACGTGCACTGCTGAACAGGGTATGGTTTTTACGATCATTCGTCTTACACAGGGTAATTTGTGACAAATTCAATATTTACAGTGAAACCTCGATATAACGAACCTCTATATAACGAAGTCTTCGGTCTAATCGAGCAATTTTCTTTACCCCAATAATAGTAAAATGGAAAAGAAAAAAGAACCTCGGTATAGTGTGCAAATTTTGCTAGTGCAAATGTTGCTATACACTGTATATATATAAAAGAGGAGATCGTTTTGTATAGGCAGCGAAAAGTTGTCCTCTTAGAGTCCTCAAACAGGTTTAAAAAAAGGCGTACAAAATAAAAGGAAAAAAAGAGAATAAAGAGATTTAAAGACCTAAGCGATACCACCCGACCCAAGGTTGCCGTCAAGTGCCCCCCCTCCCTCTAGGCACTTTGGCCGATTTTCAGATTGGCCTTCGTCTGAAAAGAAAATAGAAATACATAGATTCTTTCTCCAAAGTGAGATCAAACAATAATCCATGCATTTCAAGTTTTAGTCACTTTCTTTCTTACCCTTCCTTAGTGACAGCCAAGTTTTTTTTATTAAACTACAGATGATTCATGTACTAGAGTGTGGAAATATGGTAACATTTAGTATAAGGCCAGGCAGGAGCCCGGGCTAGGGGCCCGTACGTTTCTCGAAAGTCCCGATTATTAACTGAACAGGCTCGGTAAGCTGTCTCCGTTTACATTAATGATCGAGGTTTCAATAGTTTTGCATCTAACGTGATAAAACTATCAGTTAATGAAACAAAGTGGAGTAGTTTGCTAGCCAGGACCCGCGCTCTTATTCTTTACATTTCGATTTGAATATTTGATTTCGGGCCCGAAAAGTTACCGGGACTTTCGAGAAACGGATCCCAGGCCAGTTTTAGTGGATCGATTTCCACTGATTTAGTGGCACTAAATCCTGGTGACCTGTGCCATTTAATAAGACGTTCGATTTACTTTATTTCAGACAACTGATCCAATATTTTTTTCTTTATTGAGGTGGTATTCATTAAATGTAAATTAATAGGCTAGCAACAGGACAGCTAGTGACTGTTGCTCCAAAACTGTTACCTGGACTTTTGTTGATATATCCGTATCCTCTTCTAAGTTGATATCTGATTGATTTGATCGCATTCTCATCAGTCCTTCAAATTCCTTTGTATCAAACAGAAACATTCATGGTTTTAAATTACAGTCAAAATACACTTTTGTCTTTGGCCCTGATTTGATTATCCAAAGTTCCCGTGTTAAGTTTCTGACGAAGCACTGTGTGATAACGTATAGCATACAAGTAGCCCCCCGAAGGGAAGGTTCGGAATAGCCAAAGATAGTCTGAGTTACAGGAACCAATTAAAAGGCCCTAAAATTGCTATCTACCGATTTATTGAATACTGAATTACCATATACTGATCGATGACATCAACATTCTTTCGATTTAGCTGAGACTAAAGGTACTTAAAGAATAAAGCACGTTTCATACATAACTGGAGCCAACCCAACTCATCCTTTTATAGCACTGCTGGTTTTCAGTGTCACGCCATTCAAAGTAGATCAAAATAAAAATCAAAACCGTTCAATAGAAAAAGTCCAGAATTTGGGAAATGAAAGGAGGTAAATATGCAAAGACCGTCGCCAAGATTCAGATGAGAGCAAGTTTTACCCAAATTTATCAGTAGAGATTTGGAATAGAAATTGAAGCGTACTCTATCACAAAACCAAGAACCCTTTCGAAGCGAAAAATTTTATGAATATTAGTTTTTAGCCGCTCTATTGCGTCATGAAAGTAAAATCTTAGTAGGATCGATAGTTTTGTAGTTTGAATTTGAGTGACGTCATGTGAAAACCAACGATACACTACTTTCGAGTACATTTATTCCAAACGTAAAAAGTAAAAATATGCTCATCTTCTAACAGAAACACTGAAACATTTAACCGTAGGAAGTCAATTCGAAAATTTCCTTCATTAAAATTTTTGATCACGTGACACGTCACATGACCATGAATAAACGGTAAGATTTTAAAGGTGTTAAGGATGTAGCTGTTTGATTCAACTAATCCATTTGTACAAGAGTCTCTGGCACTGTGAAAACTGGTCTCCAATAGCTTAACGACCCATACCTTTTATTAATAAGTTCAAGAATTTTGTGAGACGGAATTCATGTGAAAATACGTTGTAATATCAGCTTGTTACCTCGCTATCATCGAACTTGTCGAAATCATCAATTGTGGTGGTCGGAGATCCCAAGGTAGTAACATTCCCCAAAGCGATAAACAGGAAGATGGCAAGCTTGATGTAGTCCATTCTTAATCTGGCCTTTAAAAAATAAAACACCGAATATTCATCCTCGCTGCAGTAAATAGAAGAATAATGGTGCTAAACAGGGCCACCCCTGAAATACACTGCCCTTGGTTTGCTTTAAATGAATGTGCGTTTTCACTGTCAAACGGTTGGTTCCACCCGTTTAGTGTTTTCGAAGGTTTAAAACAGGAACTGAAGCGGACGACTTAAACTTTGTTCCTAAATTTAAAAATCAGGATAATGTTCTGTACAGTTGCATTTGTCAAAAGTTTCCTTTTAAATATTGAGCTTTAGGTCTAGAACGGGATACCGATAAAAACTAAACAAACAAGGGACAGTGGTACTGCATCTGGAAGGCAGCGCAGTTAGGTGATTTGGTCAGTCCTTCAAGGCCAAATAAAAGGAATGGAAAAGTAATTTAATTGATTGTTTTAACGACGAAAGAATTATTCCAAGTCTTTTCTTGTTAAACTACAGACCCATGTATTTAAAATTAAATTTTAAGTTAACGTCTGTAACAAACTAGACCTAAAAGCTGGAAAGATTTAAAAACTCTCACACTAGGGTCCTGAAAACGTGCGTTTATGGATTTTTTGTAATTCAAAACAACGAAATTGTATCAAGAATCCGTCATTTCGGTGGGCAAAGAATTTTTGACTTTTTCTTGTGCAAAGCAATCATGACTGTACTTACCAAGAGTTTTCAGTATGTTCTGAGTCCTAGGCTGCAGCAACCAGTGTCTTTTGAAACTTTTGATTTAGCAAGAAAACTGCGGAACCCCGTTTTATAGGGAAAAAATTGAAAAAAAACATCCCGTACAACCAAATAAGGAAAAAGGAAAATTTGTTGAAAATGATGTTATCAAGTGCACAACTCTTTTAAAATACGTCAGTTTTTTGTCTTTTCGTTATTCAAACATTGCGGAAAGCATCTTTTCTTTTCAAAATGGTTTCCTGTTCATTTTTTGCTATGGCCACGCCTGAAGAAAAGTATTGTATAAGTTATCATGGAATTACATTGTTATAAGTGTCTTTCTTATCAAACAGAGTATGATCTTTCTTAGCTTTTCTTAAAGCGGCATATCACCGAATTGGACCTAAATATTTAATAGACTCTTTAGTTAAATATACACTTAGCAGAACACCCCGCTCCGCCAACAAGGGATTGCTAGTAGTCCCTAAGTATAATCTTGAGTCCTATGGAAAGCGCGCTTTTTCATAGCCTGTGAACAGGCTCTCGGTTCTTTTTGCCGCTCGACCAAAGGCCTGTTCACAGGCTAGCTTTTTCAGTCATTGCCCCATCACTCCGGAATAATTTACCAGAATAAATAAAAACTACAGCATGCTTGACTTCTTTTAAGAACAGAGTTAAGAGCTTTTTATTTAGCCGTTCATTTTAGATTTTTCTTATGTTTTTATGATGAAGTTTTATATATTTTGCGAACTTTTTAGATAGTTTCTCACCCTAGATTTTTCTTTTTAGTAACCTTGTTAAGCGTCATTGGTTATAGTAGAAATGGTGCTATGTAAATGACTCCCACGGCTTAAAACTTCCTAATTTCACTCTTTGAGAAGGAGAGAAATGTTTCTTTTCTCTTTTTTCTGATACTCCAGAAGATTCGCCAACATTTAACAAATTGAACGAGGTGAAATAATGGTGACGAAGCGTGAAACGGCCTGAATTCACTTTTTAAGCCGTTTTCGCAGCCCGTCGCCTTTCTGGTTGCTTAAGCTCTCTAAAAATGCTTAAGTCAATACTTTTCGTGTGACAGCATTGTTATCACTCTAAAAGTATCAGTAATCTCTTTTCTTTCGCCTGGCATTAGTAAATCAGTGATTTATGACACCCGGCGACTAAATGTCGCAACCTTTGGCGATTTCAGTTCAAAGTTTGCTCACCCGTTCCGAAAGGCAGTTCGACTAACGGGATGTGCATTTCTCACAAACAGGAACATAACCATTAAATTACCACAAAACTCTCAGTTTCGGTTTCTAAAAACCAGCTGGCTTACATGCGGATGACTAATCAAAAGTGATTAAATATATTTGCTAGGGTTTGCTCCTTCTCGAGATAATAGAGTTTCTAAATGATTACCACAACTATGTGATCAGTGCGTCATTTACTTAACGGAATTGCTTGCGGTATTTTTTTCTCGTTTAATTTACAAGCCCCAGGTTATTTTTCAGAATTTCAAAGTGGTCCGAGCCCTCTTTCCAGTACTTGCTACACTCTTTCGATTTTTGACCTTTACAGTTTGCGTTTGTTTTATTTTTGCTTATTCCTTTGAAGGAAGAGACTAAACTCTGAGTGAGTCTGTCAGTCACGCTATGCTTAACCCTTTCCGGACTCCAAGAGTGAATGAAGGAGTCCCTCAAGGTTGTTCTAACTTTTGACTTTGTGAGAGAAATCCTGTGGTTTGACCAGTCGAATAAAACCTCTTCTGCAGTTCTTTCTCATGGTACTATTTATTTCCTTATGTATTGGTAGTTCTAACTTTTGAACCGGAATATGGCTACATCCAAATAAGCCGTGACGAAATGGCCCAGTTCACAATTGTCGAGCAGTTACACCGAAATGTCTTGCTTAGTCTCAGCGGTTATGGCAAAGCATAGACTAGAAAAACTTTTATTATTTGTTCGTTTCATGACGTGACTAAAGCCACGTATTGAATGGCCGTTGTTCGCGCACAAGGAACTAAACCGTGAAAAATACCACCGGAAAAGCTGTTAATCGTTGACAGTAAATTTGTCACTGAAAATGTTAATAGCTTTTTTATTTGCTAGGGTTTACGCAGGTCAATCCGCAAATGAAAGTACATGTGGTTCTAACTTTTGAATTTGTGGGCAAAATCCTTTGGTGTGACCATTAAAATCCCCTTCTGCAGTACTTTTACAAGGTACTATTTATTTCATTATGTTGTTGAAACTTTTGACTTTGTGGACGAAATTTTTGTGATCATTCAAATGAAACCTCTCTGGCTTTACGTTCGCATGCTACGATTTGTTTTTCAGTATTTAATAAAATGAACTTTGGATTTGTTAGTCTTACTTTTACGTAAGGCATTTTTCAGCGTGAAAGGGTTGAAGTTGTTTGGCTGAGCTATCGATCTTGAGGTCAAATTATTTGAGGCCGGAACTGCAACATTACTAGGGTAGACATTTCATGCAGCTCATGAGAACTGCTTTTTAATTCATGATTATTATTATTATTATTATTATTATTATTATTATTATTATTATTATTATTATTATTATTATTATTATTATTATTATTATTACTATATCAGTCAGAAAACAGAAATGAAAAGTTCTGGAGAAGAATGAGAAACGTAGTCATCATGAGTGAAGTACGTGTTGTTGCACGTTGAACATGAACGATTGCCACAATTATTTGTGACAGAAAATAAAAAAAAATTAAAATAAACAGAAGAAGACGACGACGAAGGCACAGTATCTGAGCAGATATGTTTCACAGACGATTCTATTTTATTGTTTTAGCCAGGATCACGATAGATTATCCTGCAAAAGCAATGGCAAAAAGAACAAACAAACATCACAAACCTCTTGAAAGCTTAGCGCGGCTCGTTTATCAAAAGGAAGTAATAACTCGGCGTTCGGTTTTATGAGCTTTCTACCTCTACTTCTACTGATATATGATGAACTGATGTACTCTTTAACACTTTCGCATCGAAAAGAGATTAATAAAAAATTACAGAAGTGGGTCAACTTAGTCTTGATTTTGTTCCGTTTGTCCACATACTTGTATTTAATAACTGAATTTATTGAATGCCATTTTAGAAATATTCTTGGCTTGCCATTGTCAGCTTTTCTTGGTCAATCGAACACACCCTTTCACTATTGAGTGACTAAGAAAAGCTTGAACAAGTGGTTAGCCTGTTATGGCGTCATCGTTCGTGATGAAAACAGCACAGACAAACCGAACCAAGCAATAAAAATTCGCATGTTACAGCTGAAATAATCAGAATGGTTCAAATACTCGCCTTGCCTTAAAATAACACGCTAAGCGAGAAAAAAGAAGTGGCGCCGATGTCATACTTTTACGACATGTTACTTTACATGTAGCTTTAATGTTCATCTTTTTATCCCTGCTACCAGCCCGCTCAAGCGAGACAAAACAACACAAAAAACAGCTGTGCAGTGTACAGCACTGTTATTCAATAAATTGAGATAACTTTGAATTATGCTTTCCTTTCCTAACTTTACCCCGTGGAGTTCGCTGAAATCACTTATATCTTTTTAAGGAGAATTTACTGATTTTGTCTATTCAGATCTAAGGAAACCATCAGTATTTCAGTAGAAACCGGAATTGTGCTTTATAAGCTGTAAGCAAACGGCCTAGTTCACCAATCTTAAATAAGTTAAATCTTTTTTTTGTTGTTTATTAACTGTTACAGATACAGCCCGTTAGAGAATGAACAAACACAGCTATTCCGTTAAGTTGAGCAATATGAGGACCGTACGACTACCACGTGAAAAGGAGGTGGCATCTCACTGATGGCACACACTTCGAGTTACCGTGGTTTTTGTTTCTGGTCGGCAGGATTTGCCCTCTGATGCAAGAGCAGTTTCTTTGACATCTTTTCAAGCGTAAAGCTTTTTAGTACGGTTGAATAAGGGTTCTAATTTTCTCCAAAGTGCCTTTTGGAGCTGAATAACTAAGCGATTTTCTTTAGTCCGTGAATGTAATGTTTTTCTGCAATGTTGTATCACGCCGGTCCCAGTTTGTTAGTTTTCTTATAAGCTTTCCAGGATGTTAAATTATTACGGATAGTGATTTACAGGTATAAAATTATAAGAATGAAGTGCAGCTTAAACTGAAGCTGTATCAACTATGGAGAATTGCTTTGTGACTAGTAGACTCCAGCTTAGTGTTTTTCTAAAGATAATATGAGTCTTTGACTGGAGCGCGTATTTCCTTCCTTGGTAATCGCTTTTGAATAAGCTTAACATTGTTTGGATTGTTGGTTATTGCCACTTTGTGATCAGGCAAGACCAATAGTTTCGGTTCGCCACGCGAACCTCATTAGTTGCCGGGTTGGCTTTGTACTTAGTGGCTTGTACAAGAGTAACTTTAGTTGCTCTTTATCGTGGCGAGAACGGTACAGCCGTGAAATAGCATCGACTTGCCAGATCCAGTTGGGGAGACTCCAAAAACATCCTAGCCTTTCAGGATAGATTCGAAACACTTTACTTGAAGAGGTTTAAAATTAATTTATGGAAAGTTACCGTTTCAGGGAAAATCCGACCTGGCGAACCACTGATCTGTAGTAATATGTAGTAATATGTAGTGATATGTAGTGATGTGTAGTGATGGACAGTGATAGGTGGTGATGGATAGTGATGCAAAGTTATGTTGAGTGACACATAGTTACATGTTACATGAAGATATTTTAGTAAGATTTTTTGTATTCGTGTAGGAGAACACGGATTTATTACCCCTCCCGTTCTTTCCCAGACTTCGCACGGGCAACGGGCAAGATAGAACGCCTAGGGACTAGGCTGGAGTCCCGGGGCTTTTCTCGTGGACTCTGGGAGGGTTCCATCAAAGACTTACATGAGAAAGGCCCTGAAGATGGCTCACACGACAGCCGGGACATAAGGGCGGTTCTAACCTAGTGGGTTTGACGTTGGCAGAATTTGATGGCTGCTATTTCCTTCGTTGTTGATTGCAAAAAGCTAAACTTGCACAAACTGCTCATATTAACCATCTTTTCCCATTTTTGAACTTAATTAGTGAAAAGCTATCCAGCGTAGTGTAAACATAGACTTAGTTAATTATCAAGGGTTTTATATTTCCAAGAAACCCTTGCGAAAAAGGACTTTTAATACTTTTTATATTTTTGTAAAAAAGAGAAATTTCATTGTCTATGCACCTATAAACCAACCAACATGTGCAAAAAGGTGAAGTTTTGGCAAAACTAAACTGCAGCTTAAAGGCCTAGTTGAATCTCATTGGAAATATCCTAGTGCGCGGGATTTTCACACGTGAAAAAAATGATACGTCCAATAAGAATCGCGAACGATGTTTATTCAGGTGTGAGAAAAGTGGTACGTCCAATCAAAGGTCACAGAGATTTGTGAGTCTCGCGCCAAAGTTCCCGCCTTTTATAGGCTCTTGCAGATCCTTTCTCGCACTTGAACTAAGTCTTCGACAAGACAATCGCAGCGATCCAATCGTAGTGGATCGCATATGAGTAGTAGTTCGTCTTTATCGATTACAAGAGCCAAGGAAGCTGCTAGAATTGCAGAATTGAAAGCCGAGGCAGCCGCTTCTAACCTCGTGGGTATAACTTTAATTTCTCTTTCTTCAGGTTGAATGAATCTTCATGACTGATGGACTCATGCCCATAACAGACCGAATTCAACGTAACCTTATTTTAAACGAAAAGGATAAATATAAGGATATTAAGCTTCAGCTTCTCAAGGGAGGCCGTGGGCAGTTTGGATTCCGCTTCCTTAACGAAATCAAATGGGCAGCAGCGAGATTTAACTTTCAGTACCTTCTTAGAATCGATGATGACTACTTCCTGCGTTCAAAAAGGCTTCTTTCTGAGCTACCATTGAGGCCGAAACAAAATCTAGTCTGGAGATTTTTCCACTGTGAAGTAGGAATCACATGGCTGGATGAAGCATTTATGATATTCTCTGAAGATATCATTCAGAAGTTCTTGGCGCAGAACAAAAGCTCGATGTTGTGTCATCCACATGCGGACCAACAAGTCATGTTGTGGCTGAGCAATATTGTAAACAAAATATACTTCCACGATATTAGCTAGGTTACATCATGAGCCTCCAGCGTCATTTGTTTCTCGATTTAGTAACATGTCGAATGTTTGTGACTCCCATTTAGGCGCGCATGGAGCGTACGGTAAGACCATGTATTATCTCTGGCTGGCTGAGGGCTAATGACAATGCTAAAGGCGTTTCAACTATTCCTGATTTTGCAAGATTTTGTAAAAAACACAAAGTTTGATCACCGTGCATTTAATCCTAAGTGGCGATGTGAACCCAAGCCCTGCAAAGGTAACCCAACATGGAACTTGGGAAATGAAATGTGGCTTGGTAAAGAAGCTGCTCAAGATGTGTAGCCTGAAATTATTTTTTTAAAAAACTAAAAAACGATAGAGGGCCGTGTTTTACAGGATGTCAAAGAATGAAATCTCGTCGTCCCGTTTTAATTCACTGGTGGTGAATTTGATACTGTTATGGCTATTCAAATGCTGCAAGAACCTTAAGCACAGTGACGTTAAACAGTAAAAGTATCATCAAGGCGCCGAAACCAAACTAAAAGAGAAGGACAAAATTTGCCGTTCATGACACATCTAGTTCTTTAAAACTTTAAGAAGAGAGTTACCGACAGGTATTCAGCCAGTATTTCGAATAAAGTTTGATAGAAGTTGTAGTTATTTTGCTTAAAGTTGGTGAGTTTATGATTTTTCGCATGTTGTATAGTTCGCCGTATATTACAAATTTTTCCAGTACCTTATTTTGGCCTTTAAAAACTGATTTACACCCAATCCCGTTTTAACTTAGCAAATAGTCATTTCCCAGGTTATAGGTGAATCCTTTTTCACACCTGTAATGCTTTTTTCCGCCTCATTAACATATGCTTATCGTTATCTGATGAAGCTAATAAAATAAAATTTTCTACTTATTGAAGGAGCATACCAGTTTCAGTTATCGCTGAAAATTTGAGCCCGATACACCGAATAGTTCTAGAGAAAAACCCCAAAATTGACAAAGAATGTATGACCTCATGAAGGTTTTGCCACCCAACAATTTGGCAGTATTTGATGGCTGCTATTTCCTTTGAACTTAATTAGTGAAAAGCTATCCAGCATAGTGAAAACATAGACTTAGTTAATTATCAAGGGCTTTATATTTCCAAGAAACCCTTGCGAAAAAGGACTTTTAATACTTTTCATATTTTTGTAAAAAAGAGAAATTTCATTGTCTATGCACCTATAAACCAACCAACATGTGCAAAAAAGTGAAGTTTTGGCAAAACTAAACTGCAGCTTAAAGGCCTAGTTGAATCTCATTGGAAATATGCTAGTGCGCGAGGATTTTCACCCGTGAAAAAAATGATACGTCCAATACAAATCGCGAACGATGTTTATTCAGGTGTGAGAAAAGTGGTACGTCCAATCAGAGGTCACAGAGATTTGTGAGTCTCGCGCCAAAGTTCCCGCCTTTTATAGGCTCTTGCAGATCCTTTCTCGCACTTGAACTAAGTCTTCGACAAGACAATCGCAGCGATCCAATCGTAGTGGATCGCATATGAGTAGTAGTTCGTCTTTATCGATTACAAGAGCCAAGGAAGCTGCTAGAATTGCAGAATTGAAAGCCGAGGCAGCCGCTTCTAACCTCGTGGGTATAACTTTAATTTCTCTTTCTTCAGGTTGAATGTGTCTTCATGACTGATGGACTCATAACAGACCGAATTCAACGTAACCTTATTTTAAACGAAAAGGATAAATATAAGGATATTAAGCTTCAGCTTCTCAAGGGAGGCCGTGGGCAGTTTGGATTCCGCTTCCTTAACGAAATCAAATGGGCAGGGGCGAGATTTAACTTTCAGTACCTTCTTAGAATCGATGATGACTACTTCCTGCGTTCAAAAAGGCTTCTTTCTGAGCTTCCATTGAGGCCGAAACAAAATCTAGTCTGGAGATTTTTCCACTGTGAAGTAGGAATCACATGGCTGGATGAAGCATTTATGATATTCTCTGAAGATATCATTCAGAAGTTATTGGCGCAGAACAAAAGCTCGATGTTGTGTCATCCACATGCGGACCAACAAGTCATGTTGTGGCTGAGCAATATTGTAAACAAAATATACTTCCACGATATTAGCTAGGTTACATCATGAGCCTCCAGCGTCATTTGTTTCTCGATTTAGTAACATGTCGAATGTTTGTGACTCCCATTTAGGCGCGCATGGAGCGTACGGTAAGACCATGTATTATCTCTGGCTGGCTGAGGGCTAATGACAATGCTAAAGGCGTTTCAACTATTCCTGATTTTGCAAGATTTTGTAAAAAACACAAAGTTTGATCACCGTGCATTTAATCCTGAGTAGCGATGTGAACCCAAGCCCTGCAAAGGTAACCCAACATGGAACTTGGGAAATGAAATGTGGCTTGGTAAAGAAGCTGCTCAAGATGTGTAGCCTGAAATTATTTTTTTAAAAAACTAAAAAACGATAGAGGGCCGTGTTTTACAGGATGTCAAAGAATGAAATCTCGTCGTCCCGTTTTAATTCACTGGTGGTGAATTTGATACTTTTATGGCTATTCAAATGCTGCAAGAACCTTAAGCACAGTGACGTTAAACAATAAAAGTATCATCAAGGCGCCGAAACCAAACTAAAAGAGAAGGACAAAATTTGCCGTTCATGACCCATCTAGTTCTTCAAAACTTTAAGAAGAGAGTTACCGACAGGTATTCAGCCAGTATTTTGACTAAAGTTTGATAAAAGTTGTAGTTATTTTGCTTAAAGTTGGTGAGTTTATGATTTTTCGCATGTTGTATAGTTCGCCGTATATTACAAATTTTTCCAGTACCTTATTTTGGCCTTTAAAAACTGATTTACACCCAATCCCGTTTTAACTTAGCAAATAGTCATTTCCCAGGTTATAGGTGAATCCTTTTTCACACCTGTAATGATTTTTTTCGCCTCATTAACATATGCTTATCGTTATCTGATGAAGCTTATAAAATAAAATTTTCTATTTATTGAAGGAGCATACCAGTTTCAGTTATCGCTGAAAATTTGAGCCCGATACACCGAATAGTTCTAGAGAAAAACCCCAAAATTGACAAAGAATGTATGACCTCATGAAGGTTTTGCCACCCAACAATTTGGCAGTACTTGATGGCTGCTATTTCCTTTGAACTTAATTAGTGAAAAGCTATCCAGCATAGTGAAAACATAGACTTAGTTAATTATCAAGGGCTTTATATTTCCAAGAAACCCTTGCGAAAAAGGACTTTTAATACTTTTTATATTTTTGTAAAAAAGAGAAATTTCATTGTCTATGCACTTATAAACCAACCAACATGTGCAAAAAGGTGAAGTTTTGGCAAAACTAAACTACAGCTTAAAGGCCTAGTTGAATCTCATTGGAAATATGCTAGTGCGCGAGGATTTTCACACCTGAAAAAAATGATACGTCCAATAAAAATCGCGAACGATGTTTATTCAGGTGTGCGAAAAGTGGTACGTCCAATCAGAGGTCACAGAGATTTGTGAGTCTCGCGCCAAAGTTCCCGCCTTTTATAGGCTCTTGCAGATCCTTTCTCGCACTTCAACTAAGTCTTCGACAAGACAATCGTAGCGATCGTAGTGGATCGCATATGAGTGGTAGTTCGTCTTTATCGATTACAAGAGCCAAGGAAGCTGCTAGAATTCCAGAATTGAAAGCCGAGGCAGCCGCTTTCAAGAAACGTTAATTGTTAGAGGAGAAGAACTTTCGTCTGCAACAAAAACAAGAGCGGTTGACGCTGGAAACCGAAATTGCCAAGTCCGAGGCCAAAGACAAAACTTTTAATTCAATTATGGAAGCCACCCGGGTTCGTCTGTGCGAAATCCTATCAGAGCAGTGTCTAGGAATAGTGACGGAAAAATACCAGCGCCGGATGTCGGTTCAGAGACAATGCAGGGCAGGGCAAATGTTGCCGTTAGTCGTTCGACTTTGAACCACGAGGCATTAGAATGGCACCAACGTTCATTAATAACCAAAAGGGAAGAATATGTTGTTGAATCCAATTTCTCCGGGGCGTCATCGTCGCCGAGCGAGGAGGGTTTTCAAGAAATACTTGAGTTACATCAGCACCAAAACCCAATACAGCAGCAACAAAACCGGATTATGGAGATGCTTGCAATGCAGCAGAAGAAAAGTAATCTTCGCCAGCAACGGATTCCAGTATTCGACGGTGATCCAATAAAGTACGATGCCTTTGCTAGAGCCTTCGAGAATGCTATTGAGACTAAAGCGTCAAATAGTAGTGAAAGGTTGTACTAACGCCAACAGCAACGAGTCCGTGTCTAGACTGTGCGCTACTTAGATGTGGACAGCCCGAATCTCCAAGCATATAAAGATGACACCGTATCTCTTAACGAGGCCACGCCCACAACGACTTTGAAAAGGCCCATAATAGTCCACACCAACTGATGTAAACGGAGGCTTGTCAGGCGAAATGCGACTTTCCGGCAAGTGAGCCATTTTCTGTTGGCACATAGGCGCCTGTCGACGGCGGCAGCTGACACATGTTGCAAGAACACGTCTCACGGTACTAAGTATTTTGTTACATCCTAAAGTGTCTCGTAAGTGATTCGCTCAGTTAGCTACCTCGTAGGGGCCGGGATGTTGTATCTAACACCCAAGAACAATAGCCACCTCTAATCAGGCCCCCTCCGGAAAGGTAGTGCGTTCATTTGCATCTTTATTTTTTAGTTAAGTTTAAGTTCCGAGAATTATTTAGTCACTACTGGCAGACGTTTTAATATTTTCAGGTAAAGCATACCATAGCCGCAGCCGAAATCGGGAAAATGAATCCTTTAATTGTTCAAGACAATAAGACATGACATAAATCTTGTTGGTAGTTCGTGATCTGGTATTGTAGGAATGGATATCTGAGAAACGGGTGAGTAGATTTTGAATACGAACAAGAGCTAGCAATTGTTTTGAACATCATACATTAACCAAGAAACAGATTCGACATAAAGAAAACGAAAAGGCAGGATACCGTGGAATAGGGTGTTCACACTTTCGAGAAAAGTTTATCAACCGTATAGCCCGCGTGTGAAGGAGAAGAAGCTTATCCAATGTTGACTGTGACGCTTGACCTCACGAGCTAATTCCATAGGTGAGGTAAGGGAAAATAAGAGACTGATATAACTTGACAATAATAAAATTAAAAGGGGTACGAGGGATACCAAGTGTCTCAGTTTAGCTACCATGCCAACGGTCTTGCTAATTTTTAGAGCAATTAGATCAATATGAACTTTCCAGTTAAGATTCTTGTCAATAATTATGTCAAGAAATTTTACATAATCTTTACATTCTAATGGTGAATATGACATTTTATCGTTGTCAAAAATATCTATCGTTGGTGATTTCGAAATATCACATAATTAGATTTCTTATAATTTAGAGTTAGTTTGTTCCCTGTCAATCATTCGCAGGGTTTGTTTAACTCAACATTTACCTCTATTTCTAGGGATTTAAGGTTGTTATTACTTATGGTGTCATCAGCAAATAAATAAAACTTGAGCTTATCTGAATAGGTTGTGATATCATTTATATGCAACAAAAAGTAGAGGTCCCAGAACAGAACCATGAGGAAAGCCGCAATCCGTGGGAGCCTTTTCAGAACTACGGGGGCTAACATTAGTTATCTATGAACGCAATTTAAGATAACCGAAGAACCAGTCGTTGACTATCCCTCTTATTCCATAATGATACAATTCTGCAGAAGAATTTCATGATTTACTGCATCGAATGCCTTCTTTAAATCAATAAAGATGCCACAGGTATACAACTTACTGTCCATGTCATTTTGAATAGTGAATAGTGTTAATAAAGACCGCGATGAGAGGCCAGAAAACAACACAAACATGGACAAAATGGATCAATTTGTAGAGGTAATTTAAAAGCAATTCTGTGTAACTGTCATCTCTTTCAACAAGAAAACCTTTGGTGCCATCAGGAGTCCAAACAACATAGTGACATCCTTGAGTGGATGGGCAGAACTTTTTCCAACATGATTTGCGGGATATGGTGGACACACACATTTTGGTAAGGAATTAGTCTGAATCCCATGAAAGGAAATTTAATCTCCAGAACTGTTTTCCTTTTTCCACTGAAGTCTATAATTTCATCTGGTGAAGAACCCTGCCAGTTTCTCTTACAATTAAATTATCTGTATTTTTGGCTCAAAAACTTTTTAGGTAGGTGACAAGAGTACTGTCTTTACTGATAGAACCCCATACCATTGCCAAATTTGATTAATTTGGTTGTTTAGTTATACGATGTTAATCATAAGACAAATCATTCTTAGCTTGCCCAGTAATCATTCCTTTCCTTATTCATCATCACCATCGTTAGCAGTAGTGGTAGTAGTGGTGGTAGTAGTAGCAACAGCAGCAGCAGTAGTAGTAGAAGAAGAAGAAGAAGAAGTTTTATTTTTACTATTTACTTAACTTCAAAATTTTTGTTTTAGACGCTCAGTGTATACAAGAAATACGGAAGAGTATCATGAAGGATTACTTCCTGACACATAAGTTTGACCAAAATCCTTCAGCCAAAGGGGAAAGCTTTGCATATATCTTCGTTGATGACCAATTCCAGTTCATCTCCCGTTCAATTGCGAGAGTAGCAAGTACGAAAATGAAAATGATATTTGCAGAGCTTTGTGATAAGACTTGGAGAAGTGATGAAAGTATAACGTAACTGATGAAGGGGATATAAAAGAACCAACGTTATAATTCAAAAAGAGTATGGGTATAGTAGTTCCCCGGTGATGTGGTCTACCACCACCTCTATCATCACTTCAATTATCCAACATACATAACACCGTAGTTCTCAAATGGACCTAAAGGGGCAGCCATTATATTACTTTTTTTATAACATTATCAAATCCTAAAGGGTACTGTGAGTTTTACTGGTATCCTCTTCAGTTCAGCCCACTTCCGAGTATGCCACCATGCCAAAAAATGGTTTGAGTGCATAGGCTATACATTGTATATCGGTGTAATTGTATATAGTGTATAGGACAATGTCTGAACTCCGAGGCCTTCTTGAAGGTAGTAATGACCTCCTGTTCTACCTCAGTGACCTGCTGTTCCATTTATTG